GCAGCCTGATCAAGAATGACGCCAATACATTATTCATGGTTGGTTAACATTTAAATTAGTATTAATCCAAATAATAGTTTTGCATCACAGGAAATAAGCGACTTGGAGCCAATAGCCCGAAGTGGCGCTGAATTAGAGGCTCAAAGGAAGCAAGTGACTGCAATTGAGGAACAGCTTGCTGCTAAAGAAGCGGAGTTGGAAAAAACGTCAGCGGATTGGGATAGTGCACTTTCTGCTGGCGTCGTTAGTCAAGCGCAGTGGGCAGCTAATCGAGCGGCGGCTAACGATGTTGCAAAGGTATGCTCATTCGAGTGTCTAAAAATTATAATCTAAATTGCTCAATCATGCTTTCTATACAGCTGAGGTATCAAATTCTATTAGGCAACATTAGACACGCTTGACTCCACCTTGTTGGATTGTCCATAGATGAAGCGGAGAGAGAATTATTGGATGGCATTTGTGTTTACAGAATCCGAGTATTATGTCAAAATTAGAAGACGCTTCGCTTTGCCACACAAAAAATACTGAAAGAATTCTTTCTTATCATTGTCCAAATGAAAATTGTTACGAGTTACGAAGGTTGAGTGATTTAATTGCAGCTCATTGCGAAAGCTCAGAAGAAATTGACCGAGAGAGCAAAAAAAGTTGACCAGATTGCTGGGGAGTTGGATGCTGTTCAGAAGTGTGTTGCTGCTAATGGTGAATCGAATAAAGTGATTCGCGTACTTTCTTTTGCAGAAATGCTGCTGAATTGATCTGTGAACTTGATGCAGCTCGTGAATCAGAAGCCCTTTCTGCTGTACTAACAGTAGCTGAACCTGGAAATCAGGCTGAAAAGTTGAAGCAATTGAAAGATAGTCTAAAAAATACTGGGAAGAGGGTCTGTGATTTTTCAGGAAGTTTTTCAAAAAGTAACCGTTATTCTTATATTACAGGTAGATGACTTTGTTTCTGACTGCAAAATACTCATCCGAACTGCTGGCCCTGACACTGACACTGCTGAATTGGTTTGTTACACTGTGACATGTATGATGTATCTAAACAGTTACCTCGTAAATTCAGGATAGTTATCTTCAAAATGTGTGTGAAAAATGGTCGCAAGTATCGACTAGTCTGGCTTCTAAAGAAAGAGAGGTGGATGCCGCTATGCAGCAGCTCGGACGGTAGGTTATAGGCATCATAGGTGAAATTCTGTCACTCAAAGTAATTTA